ATGACACCATCTGCTGGTTGGAAAGATTATCACAGAAAATGCTGGAGGCTCTTCTGACATGTTATTTAATGTCATTTGATTTCAGCAGAGAGCACGGGACCACTAGAATGATCCAGTTTCAGTCATGCTTTAGCTGTTGGACAGATGGCCTTAGACTTCACTTAAGAATACTTTGGTATGCAGCGGAGTTTATGATCAACTGCACAGGTCCTGTGTCTGCAAAACAAGCCCCAACCATCATACCTCCACCACCAGTTGGTAAGAGGTGTTTGCACTGACATGCTATGTTTAGCATGTTGCAGCAGCAAGTATCTTTGCTACTATGAGTCACTTCAGTATTGCATAGACACAGTTCTTAACACCTATTATTCAGTAGGAGAGCTTAATTAGCAGATGCACAACTGTGTGCTGACATTTCCTATAACAAAAGGGGATGTTGAACGGTTGCTACAATAACATGTGAACCTTGCCAACAAAGATTTGTCAATGTGCTTCTTGTGTCATTTGTGTTCACAGTTCCACAAAAACTTTAGCGCTGTCATTCTGAGCAAGTTGGGGTGGATGGATTTTGTAAAAGAAAAATATATACGTTGATCAGACGTTCCTATAATTTCTGGTTATTTTGATAATAATGTGCTAATGGTTTTTAAATTAATTCCATAGACAAGTGGTTCTCAAATTCTTTGGGTCCAGTGACACAAAACCTCCTATAATCATAATATCGATTTGGCTGGTTCTGTCACAGCATTCGAAAATCTTCCCACACCTGCTAGCTACCAGGCTAATAAACTAGCAAGTGAGTCACAATCATATCAGTTCCTCCTGTTCCTCCATAATGTGGTAGCAATTACTGGATAAAATATGCTTTTGTTATTGAATCAAATTGTCCCCAATCTATAAAATGCACTTTTTAATGATCTAGCGCAATTTAACAAATTATTTTACAGATCATTGTCCCCCGGACCCGATTAGAGACCCACTTCTCTCTGACAGATAATAGTGATCTACCCTAATTATCCTAATTTAATGTCTTCAAATTGTATATTTTGTAGCAACAATCTAAAATAAAAAGTCTGTAACTGTACAATTATACAAACCAAAAAGCTAGAACCAAATAGCGTAATCTTTGGTCATTTTTTGCTTTATATGGATATGTGTATAAACATATCTACTGAGAAATAAAAGAAATATTAAATATTAATCTCTTAAATACTAATCTGGTTTTTGGACAGTTGATTTGGAATTCAGTTAAACACTGATCATGAATCCATATATAAAAGTTAGCATTTTCATGTGTTTCGCCTCCTTGTATACTTTTCTTGGCAGGAATGGACTTCCATACCTACGTCACATTTTCCTTTCTTTTTTTTCTTAAATCTGACTTACTTACCTGTCCTTATTTTTAACCAGCACAATGCTGTTTTTCAGTCATGAACTGCATGAAATGTTATAAAGATTTTATTTTAAATTATTACAAGAGTTAGGAAATTCCCCGTGCTGGGTTTCAGTTAGCTTGACTCAGTGCCGTTCAGTGGCTCTGGCTTAAGTGCACTGTTGCTATGCCAGCAGTACCAGTGAATTGATTTAGAGAGTGCTCTGCAGGTGTCATGGTTGGCTGTGTGGCAGGCAGGCAAGCAGGAGTGGTGGACCCAAAATGCAGAACTCAGACACAGAAGTGAGACTTAAAGCGCAGCTTTATTGCTGGGAGAAACCTCGTACTAAATAAACTCACTAAAAGACAAACAAAGGTCATAACAGAGGAACTGAAACACTAGAAAAGAAACACTAAACTGGAGCAGGTGACTAAACACTAGAAACATGGAAGCAGAACACACAGCTAGTGTCTGTGAAGGTTCTCAGTCATCCAGGTCATCGTAGTCAAAGGAGCTTGCAAAGAAAAGCGTCTGGACTTCTTTAAGTTACTTGAAGACGTTTCACCTTCATCCGAGATGCTTCTTCAGTTCTAAGGTCAAATGGTGGAGAGTCCCAGATATAACCCTAGTGGGAGTTTCCCCCCACAGAGGGACAAAGGACCCCCTGATGATCCTCTAATTGCCTGAGCCAAGGTGTGAAACTGGGTGTGGGTCCCAATCAGCCAGAGTTTCAGGTGAGTTCATTGTGAAACCTGGCCCCACCCTATCATGTGATTTCCTGAGGTCAGATGTCCCAGGATGTGAGTGGGCGTTAAGGCGTCTGGGGAGGGATCTCAAAACTGGATTATAGATGGCAGAGAGTTGGTGTCGTAAACCACCGCCTCTGTTCAAAGATGGTCGCTCACAGTGGACATAGATGCTTCTTTCACTCCTCTTTCAAACCATCTGTCCTCTCTGTCCAAAATGTGAACATTGGCATCCTCAAAGAGTGACCTTTGACCTTTAGATGCAGATGGACAGCTGAGTCTTGTCCTGTGGAGGTGGCTCTTCTGTGTTGTGCCATGCGCTTGTGAAGTGGCTGTTTGGTCTCTCCGATGTAGAGAACCAATCAAAGTTAGTTAGTCAGCTAGTTGAGGGAACGACGCGACACTGACACAGAAACACAGGGCTTAAATACACAGACGGCAGTAATCAAGGGATGAGAGACAGGAGGGGAACACACCTGGGAGAAATCACAGCTGACGAGACAGGGGAAACGTAAACTGAGCACACTGACACCAGACACAGACCTTCACAATAAAACAGGAAACTCAGACACAGGGAACCAGACAAGACGCTGAACTGAACAGACAGATTCACAAACAGACGGGGTGACACCATAGACAGACAGACGCAGACTCAGAGGAAGACCGAAGAGAACTCAAACAATAATAATCATAATAATAAACTAGAAAATGATAATAATAAACTTAAAGCGCTGGGTCACTGACCCAGGACCATGACAGCAGGTAAGGTTTCTGTTGGTAACTTAACTAAAGATAGCAAGTGAAACCATTTATAACATTTAACTAAAGTTTACTAATTTTCACAATATAAGCAGAAAAATGGACAGATTGAAAGCCACTTTTACAAGCTAAATAGCAAATTTAAGGCTAAACAAACTACTTCAAGTCACGTGATTGAGTGAGTGCACAGAAAGCACATAAATCTTCACATCTTACAACGTAAAAGCACATGACTTGCAGCAGGGGGGAGTCAGGAGTTAGTCCATGTAGACAGCAGCCAGTCTTCCAGTGCTAGACAGATCCGCCTGCCTACTTCGGGTGGGAGTAAGCGTTTGGAGGCATTAGGAGGGGGGAGGGGGGGTAAGTGCGTGTCTGTGTACATGAGAGATTAGTGTGTGTGTGTGTGTGTGTGTGTGTGTGTGTGTGTGTGTGTGTGTGTGTGTGTATCCTGTGTTTAACTTGAGAGAGAGTTTCACCCGGTTAAGCAAAAGTCAACAGTCCTCCAGCTGACCCATGTGACCTTGAAGGTTAGGAGCAGATGGTCAGAAATAGTGAACTCGTATGCATAATTACAGCCATACCAGAGAGTAAGCTCCTGGAGAAATGCAGTCAAAGTTAAAACCATCGATTGATTGATAGATGGCAGAGTCAAAGGAGAGAAACAAAGGTGCAGAAGTGGCTCAGTAAACTTGTGAGAGCATAATATGAACAATTTTTCCATCAGCTTTACAAAACCAGAGTGAGGTCATTTAAACCTATACCATGAAGCTCCCAGTGCACAGCATTTGTGCTGATGTTGAGGAGGGGGAGGTTTCGAGGCTCTGTGGTTATTGAGTCAGCGAACCCCGTTATGCTTTGTATCCCTCAGCACTCCCCCACCCTGGTCGTGATTTGGGGGGGTTCTAAACACTTCCCCTTTCCAGTAATAGTGCTTACAGCTGTGGAATATCTAGGAAGTTAGGAATTTCACAAACTTGTTGCAACAGTGACGTCCTATTACAATACCGATTTCAAATTCAGTGAGCTGTTTAGAAACAACCTATTATTTCACAAACGTTTGACACACTGCATGGCTGCGTGCTTGCTTTTATACACCTATACTAATGTGATTGAAAACAATTCAAAGATTAAGAGTTGTGGCCTGATAGTGTAGATGCACAATTTAATGAATGACTTCTTTTTAGGTCATATTCATATTTGAGAGGTACTTCCCAAAATCTGACCTGCATAGGTCCGGTCCAGTCTTCCTTAGTCGTGATGGTCACATGATTGTTGCAGAACTATTGTTAACTGAATTAGCTTAAGCTTGAGCAGAAAAACTTTGCTGGCAATGTATGAGTTTAATTCTTCATTACCGTACTTATAAACGGATCATATAGTTGTAAAAGTGCATCAGCAGAAGTCTGAGGGTCACAGTGATCTCTTTGGATGGCCCTGCACCCCGTATGTCTGTCCAAAATGCAGACACTGCATTATGTAGATAGGAGATAACCCATTTAGGACTGTGATTATTAAGTGTACCAAGTGCCGTCGACTGCATGTGTCAGGAGCAGTTGAGACACATTTTTTCGAAACACCGCGTCTCTGTGGCTTTTAAACCACAAAATACGCTGCGCCGAAAATTGGTCCACCCCAAGGATCGGGTCCCCGACACAAACAGAGTAACATAGTGTAGCTGTTAAGTGCAGGAGGATTGCCAGGATTTATACAAAACCAAACAACCTCTGGCGAAGCGGATGGCACAACACAGAAGAGCTCCCTCGTCAGGCCAGGACTCTGCAGTCTGTTTACACCTACAGGCCAGTGGACACTCTTTCAATGATGAGGATGTAACATCCTGGACAGGGAGGAACGCTGGTTTGAGGGCGGAGTCAAGGAGGCCATTTACGTGAAAAGGGAAAGACCATCTCTGAATCGAGGAGGGGCCTAAGGGTTCATCTGTCACCATCTTACAATGCTGTGATTGCAGCCATTCCCCA